AGGACGACGACGAGGAACACGGCGTGGTCGTGAAAGAGGTGGCCGGGCAGTACACAGCGCCTGGGAGTGGCGGTGCCTGCAGCCGGCGCTGCTCGCTCGGCGGTGTCAGTAGCATCGCCGAGCTCGACCAGCCGGAGAATGTTGTCGCCCATAAGGACGTCATCGGCGAGTTACGGCGAAGGCAAACAACAGCACATGGTAATGTGTCGGTGCACGCTCCACCACCTCCCGCGCGGAGGGTCGTCGACAATGCGAGTGTAGCTGGCGAAATCAAGGCACAGCTTGTCCGCACGGCCGAGGCGGCTAGGCAGCTCGCGCCGATGCTCGAAGTCGGGAGGCCAAGCTACCAAGGCCGCAGCTCAGTCTACCAATGTGAGCTACATCTTGTTTACTTCACGTCCAATTTAACTTGGATTGTCAGTTACTCATTATGCCACTGGATGCTTAATTCTTTGATCAGCTTCCTCAAAGATGATGTCGGCTATCTCCGTGCCTCATTTGGGGTGCAAAGACATGGACGTGTTGGACGTCGGAGTGGTAGGGAAGATGGTGGACACGCGGAGCCTATCCTACGCACTTGAGAAGCTCTATTTCTGGGAGAGGAAGCTGTATGGTGAGGTCAAGGTATGGTCATCATCTTCTGATAAAAAACTGGCCTTGTTTTAAACTTTATACTACAATAGAACTGATCTATGAACTGGAGCTATGATAATGGTGGTTTATGGAAATTAAATGATAATATTGTATGGTATGCTGCATATCATGTCACTCCAATGTGTATTGTTAGTCTTAATCCGCATTAAACTATGCCCTTCGTCTTAAACCAACCTCTACTAAATTAATTAATGGTGCTGATCAGCAACAGTACTTCGCTATGGGAAGGTTGATGTTATTTTGACTTTTGCATATGAAGCAAAATTCTTAACTTCGTACTTTTAAGAAAGGCCGGCTGCTAAGTCTCAGATTTGCAATCTAATATGTTTCTAAATAGTGTTAACTGATTAGTTTTTACTAACACAGTGGTTTGCTAGCAGTATTTTTTTTTGTGTACTTTAGGTCATGCGCATGTTTAACCAAGGGTCCAATTAGGATAATACCCACCACGGAAAGTGCTTTCTGGAAGCCTAACGGTCAGATTTGGAAGAACATGTCTCATTAACCTTTTAAAATATTTTTCTGATCTGTAGTAGTGGAGTTTTATTGGTCCAGCTAGTGGAACATGGGAGAACAAGTGGATATATTTTGAGAATCCATTTGCTTTCAGCTTTATGTGTCACAGTAAATAGAACCAGTTCGTTCAAAACAGTAAATAGAACCATCTTTTGTTTATTTAAAACTGCAGCCATCTTCTTGAATTGGATATGCCACTTTATGAATCTATTTGTTATCATTGATTTTGATAATGTTATAGTTCAATAGATTATGTCCATGCATATTTTCACCCTTGCTATCTTGTTTTTATATAATGTTCTTTTCTTCTTTGGTCTAATGTACTTCTCAATTTCTCATGCAGGCTGAGGAGAAGATGCGCTTACTTATTGCCAAGAACTCCAAGCGACTAAAATTATTAGATCAAAAGGGTGCAGAGCCTCAAAAGATTGATGCAACTCGAAATTTGCTGAGGAAGCTTTCAACAAAGATAAGGATAGCTGTGCGCGTTATAGCCAAGATTTCAAGAAAAATAAACAAATTAAGGGATGAGGAATTGTGGCCGCAAGTTAACACTTTGATCCAAGGGTATGCCTCTCTTTTAGCTCAAGGAAAGTGCTAATTTCTTGTTGTTGTTACTGTCATTGCTATTATTGCTATTGTTGTATTACTACTACTCTTACTCTTAATATTACTATTACCAAAACTACTAATATTATTGTTTTTTTTTGTGTGTGTGTGTGTGTTGGGTCTAGTCAGTGTCGGAGATACATATCGAATTGAATCTTTTTACACAATTGATAGTGACCTGATGTATGCATTCATGCAAACTAAAAATGGATTGAGAGGAAACCATAAAACATGGATATCTAGGAAGTAGGATTGTCAGAGTGTTTTTGTATACCTAGTGGCATGTTATATGTCAAATCGTGTTAAGTGATCTATAATAAATTGAAATACTGATTTACTTGCTTTCTCCCTTTGGTTGCTCCCTCCTCTTTTGCATTGTTGGGCCCTTCCTGAACAAATTAATGGCTTATTTCCAGGTTTGTATTAATGTGGCAAGATAAATTGGACTGTTACCATAGTCAGTGTCAAGTGATATCAGAAACCAAAAACTTTACTTCAGTTTTGTCAGGTGGAAATGGCCAGGATTTGGTGTTGGAGCTTGAGGTAGAGCTGATTAAATGGATCATCAGTTTTTCCTCTTGGGTGAATTCACAAAGAAACTTTGTAAAGGCACTGAATGGATGGCTAGCACTCTGTCTTAACTATGAGCCTGAGGATAACACTACTGGAGTTCCATCTTATTCACCAGGAAGCATAGGTGCTCCATTGGTTTTTGTTACCTGCAACAAATGGTCTCAAGCCATGGATCGGATTTCTGAGAAGGATGTGGTTAACGCCATGCAAGCTCTTGTGTCTAGCGTGCGGCACCTGTGGGAGCAGCAGCATCTTGAGCAAAGCGAACAAATAATCTCGATTCGAGAAAGGGAAAAATGGATCAAAATTTTGGAGAGGAAAACCCAGGAGATTAATAAAGAGGCAGATGAACTAAACAGGAAGCTGGCGTTAATACCAAGCCAGCAGAGACTGCATGTGCCTCGGACCGTACAACTGTACGAGGCGCATTGTGTTGAGGCAAGTAACTTGCACATAAATCTGAGGCTGGTTCTTGAAGCTTCTGAGAACTTTGCTGCCAATTCACTGCAAGCTTTCCAGGATGTGTCAAAAAGTGCTGAAGGGACAAGGCTTCCAAGAGATAATGTGAGGAGAGAGCACCGTAGTAGTTTGAATAGAAGTTCAAACTATAAAACCAGCTCGTAAGATTTAAACATGTTCTATCTAGGTGGGATGAAAATATAAGACAAGATACAGAGCTGGTAGCATGATGACTCGTTCAGGTGTGGTGGCTTCCTGTGCAGATGAAACTTGGATGGGGTCTTGTGCCAGAGACAAAACAACTTGAATGAGGGTTTTGAGCCGTTGAAAATCTGACATTCAAGAAGATTGGGTTGGTGATACAATTTATTTCTGGGGGCAAGATTTTTTTTTTAAAAAAAAAATCCTTCCAGTCAGAGCATTTTGCCCAGTGTTCAGGTGCGTTGTTTGCCTTGGTTCAGGGACGTGTGTGTATACCCCTTTGTTGAACAACCACAAGGTTATAACGGTTGCGAAGACTGAGCAGAAATATGTGGTGCAGGCTGGAACCATCCCTAGATGCAGCTGTCGCTTCTACGGACCCGGCCACACGGGTCCTCCCCAAAAACAAAAGCAGTTGGATTTTGGTGACAATGTATGTAAAGTGACTGAATGTAAAATCAGTCAAATGTGCATTCCTGAACGATCTTTTGCTACACGAAGTTGTACATATTTATGGTGTATTTGCAATCATCTTACTTTGCAGAAGTATTGTAGGCTTCGTAGCTATTAAGCAATCCGTGTCTCCAACAGAGTGAAAATTTGTTATTTAGCTGCAAATTACATTTAACTTTTCCTTCTCCAAGACAATGCTAACAAAAACATTTTGGCAGCAAAATTGAACCATATAAGTGAACTCAAAAGAGATGACCCCACGATCGACGACGAAATGCAACTGTTAATGTTCGTTGAAGAGGATGTATGACCAGTTTTTTTTTTTTTCCTAGGGAGCATTTTTCACGGGACCTTCGGTGGCAATGGGCCCAACGCAAAAGTTGCCATGCCATTTCGTGGGCCGTGGCCTAAGGCCGTGTTTGTTCCTCAGAAAAAGTCCATTTGACTTCCGTTTGAGTCTGATTTACCTCTTGGGACTCCGGCTTTGATTTCTTGTTGCTCCTTGCAATGAAGCCTGCCAAACCTCCATGGCTCCATGGAAAAAATGGTTCATCGCAAGAAGCTATAGCCGTTTTTTTTATAGAGCCGGAGCTAAAAAAAATGTCTTCCGGCTCTTTCTGATGAACATAATATAAGTTATTATGAAACTGTCTCTGGAGCTGTTTATGCCAAATGCTTTTCATGGCTTCAACTCCACCAAAAGAAGCTGCTCCACATGAGGAATCATCGCCCTTTTAGAGAAGCCGGAGCCTTACCAAACGGGTATGGCTGACGTGGCACTATATCAGGTAATCCGATTTAACTCCCGAGTGGTTTTAACTTTTAAAAGTGGTTATGGCTGACGTGGCACTATGTCAGGTAATCAGACTTTCATGATAGTTTAGGGAGGTTAACTAGATTTTATAAAAAAAAATTATAGAAATATTTTTCAGAAAATTATTCAAAAAAATTTCTAAAATAAATATGCATTTGAAAAATACTAAAATCAGATTTAATATTAGAAAAATTATAGAAAATTTGTTTTAACTTCGAAAAAAAATCCTACCAAATTTCTAATCTCTTGTCTTCGTTGCTTCAACATCGTGATCTATGATTTTCTAAGACATTATTCTACGTTGTTCTTGATACAGTGCAAATTTATATCATACTCGTAATATCCTTTCAAAGATTCAAGAATTGTTGCGAATAATTTGGGATATCAGATTCCAACAATACAATTGTGAGATTTTTTAATCAAGTTTTTATTAGAACCGAGTCAATTCTATTCCTCGGAGTGAATAGAAGAAACTCTCTACCCTCTTGGAAGATGTTTCTTCCAGGTAAAAAATAGCAGCAGCTCCATATGACGACAGTGTACTGCAACCTTCCCTGTCTACTCGAGAGATTACAGATCCAGCCTGTTCGTTTCGAGCTGGATTGACTTATAAGTCATGGCTGAAAGTATTGCGGGCTGTTTTGGTATGAGAGAAAAATATTATTTGTTGGCTGATAAGTCAAGACTTATAAGCCGAATACATGCTGCCGAACAAGCTGATTCAGTGGCATGGTATCTCCGGGTATACTTGTCCGGAGATGGACACTTGTGCGTTTCGGCAGCGGGCGAATGTTTGCTGGCCACCGGATCTCGTGATCATGACGGAGTTGACATGGATGTCTGTGCAGCCGCCGCCGCCGCTACAGTCAAACGCCACGGCGGTTGGTAGGCTTGACGTCCCCTTCAGGTTGGTGTACGTTACGTTGCTGATCGCCACGGCCAGCTGCAAACCCAGAGATACATAAGCGTTGGTTGCATTGCTCGCTGTGCTTCTCATATAAACTGCCTGTGAATTGTGATAGCTTGAGCAGTGTGTGCGACTTCAATGCACTACTTTGTCAGTAAATGGAATCGAGCTGATAACAAAGATGAAATACACGGTACGTACCTCGAGAGTGCGGTCTCGGTAGAATTGGTCGATGATTACGGGGTGGTCCACGTTGTCGAATTCTATGTCGGTGAATGAGATGGATCTTGCGTACCCTTGCGCACCCTATGGCTATTAGACAAGAAAAACACCAAATTAAACACAGCCTTGACATTTTACTCATAATAGTGGTAGGTTTTTTATCTGTCATTGTTCAGTAATCACAACTTTCACTTTACCTCCCACGTCTTGATCCTAGCTCCATTCGCTGTATTTGTAAAGTAAACGTTGTTCACGTCGATGTACTCCACGGCGGCGATTTCGCCATTCTTGCCGAGACTCCCAATGCTGGCCAACACGAAAACAATACATAGGTGCTGGGTTAGTACACATGCATCATCTTGTGCTAGACCGTCCACGCAGCACCGGATTGCCCTTTTCAGTCGCATCGATCGATGGGTTACCTTACTCCGTGGCCAGGCCCGCACTGGATGCCGTCGACGGTGACGAAGCGGCTGCCGGAGCTTATGGAGACGCAGTCGTCGCCCGTGCCGATGGTGGAATTGGTGATCCGCACGCCCTGGCTCCGCTCGACGTGGACGCCGTCCGTGTTGGGGCTGTTCCCCGGCGCGGCGATGTTGAGCCCCCACACGTTGACGCCGCTGCACTCGATGATGGCGATGTGCATCTGCGGGCTGTTGCGGCTGCTGAACTGGCTCAGCTCCAGGTTGTTACAGCTCACCAGCTTCAGCGCCTGCCAGAGACGAACAGATTCTTGAATGCGAGCTTCATCGAGAGAGAAACGCATGAAAATAATCCGCGCGCACAATGTTGCGTACCGTCGGTGCAGATTCAACGCAAGCCTGCGGAAGTGACAAAAGATTAGGTGCTTGGAAACTGAAACAACATAGAAGAAGCATGTAACACGTAATGATACTCACGGCATGGGCATCGCTGTGGCATCTCCTGACCCACCAACTCTGACCACTGCCGTCGAGCACGCCGTTGCCGGTCACCCTCAGCCCGTCCACGCGATTGAACATCAGCCAGTAGAGGTTTGTCCCGCTGCTCCATGCGCTCGCTGCCGTCGACAGCGGCGCCATGATCGTGCCCTGGATCTGTGCAGGGTAAAGCCGGCAAGTATTGGTGTTTGTCATAGTCATTACACGTGGTGACGGAGCTGGAAGATTTTGTTTTTATAGGAATCAAGGAGGGGCAAAGCGCTCTACATCTACTAGGTTTTCTCCTATGCCATTTTTTAAGTTTGACTATCCATATCTACAGTCTAGCTAGCAGTCCAACAGACGACGAAGAGCGTTTCGAAAACATTAAAAAAAAGAACAGAGGACACAATCTGTCTGTTTGTCACGGTGGAGCAGAAACGGACTGACAACTGACATGCACGACATGAGCACTGGACGGGCGCGTACCTGCACGGTGACTCTTCCGGAGGCGCAGGGCCCCTGGAAGCTGACGGGGCCGACGAGGAACGACCTCTGCGCCGGCACGACCATCACCGCGGACGGCCCCCTGGCGCCGCACGCCGCGTTCCACGCCGCCTCGAACGCCTTGATCGAGAGAAACCCACGAAAAACGTACGTGAGCACGATCGTCCTCTGCCGGCCTGCGCCGCCGGCCGCCGGACGGACCAAGAAGATGAATCGCACGCGCACGTACCTTGGTGTCGTCCGTGCTGCCGTCGCCTCTCGCGCCATGGGACACAACGTCAAACATGAGCTCCCCGCCAGCGTCGCCGGCCGCGCAGCAGCACGCCAGGGCGAGGCCGGCGACGGCGAGCAGGATGCACGAGCAGACTATGCCGGCGGCGCGCTGCAAGATTCATCAGCGTCTCCCGCATGAGCATATACGATATGGCATCGATCGTGCTATCTAGTTTCGCAGGCCTTACCATCGTGTACGTCTGTGTAGACTTGTAGGTGGATCGCGTATATTGCCAAGGGTTTAGGGGATGGAGTGGAGTATACAACTACTGAACTACTTCAGCTACGTTTAGGGGATTGCATAGAACGGGCCTTCAAGGAAGGATATATAGACCTGTCCTCGTGACCATGTGGGGAGATGAGAGGAGAAATACGTTGACCTAATAGCTAATGTGCATTCATGTGGTAAATGTAGAGAGATCCTTAAAGTTAATAGATGCGTTTACTTACTGATAGAATGATGCGCTTACTGATATATTTAGGTGGGACTGGAGATTTGAATAAAGCCTGCTGAGTCACTCTTTAATTTCAGTAGCGCATCTCTCATTCTCTCCAGCTCGTGCAACCACTCCAGCGGTTACTACTCACTGACAAATATTTTCGTGGGTTGAAATGGGAAAAAAAAAAAATATTTTTTGAAAATCCATAATTATATAAATCACTTTAGCTAAAATATAATAATAAATTATTAAATTGCTTTTTAATATAAAATGGGCTATAGTTCCTTATCAAGATTCATCGTGGATCCATCACAAAAAGTATTATAGGCTAGAATCAACTTAAATCGAAGCATTATCATAATACCATTTTTTTTCGTGAACATGCACTGTAGCACATATTTCATTAAGAGAAAAAAGAGAACATCCAAACAAACAACGCAACATAAAACAGAGCGGCAAACGAAAAAACAAAGGAAGCCGGCAGCGACCACACAAGAGATTAATTACATGAATGAACTGAGCAACGACAGGGTCGAATACCTGGCCTGCAACCACAAGGCGGCCTCCTGTAGGATCTCCAAACACAGCTCGCGAGCGTCCTTGGCTTCATTCCTGAAAGTATGTGCGTTGCGCTCCTTCCAAAGCACCCAACAGGTTAGCATGACGAGCGGATCAAAGCCCTTCCTGCTGCCTCGGGGCACCCTACGCCTAGCCCAGGTCGACTAGAGGAAGGGGTCGACGTCACCGTGAGCGACCACGGTTGTGAGCCTAAGCTTGGACAGGAGCATGTCCCAAACCTGACGGCTGAGGACACAACCCAGCAGGATATGATCCAGAGTTTCGGAGGCTTGAAGACACATGATACAAGTGTCATTGTCCTGCAGCCCATGTCGCATCCGCCGATTCGCGGTCCAGCAACGACGATGCAGAGCCAACAAGAAGAAGAACCTGACTTTGGGCGGTGCGCGCGTCTCCCAAATCAACTTAGCACCGAGTGGCAAGGTCGATCCGATGAACATCGCACCATACGCCGACGCCGCGGAGTACTTGTGGTCAGCGGACCAACGCCAGATGACGGAGTCCGGAACCCCCGGCATGAGATGGACACCGCGAACCCGCTCCCAGAGGCCCAGGTACTGGAGGAAGACATGAACAGTTTGTGCCCTAGTTATGTCGGACACCCAGGCGTGATCAGCCAGACCCGACGCCACAGATCGTTTCCTCGCCTTCGCCCGGGGGACTGAGGCGAACACCGCAGGCGCAATTTGGTCAACACAGCACCCATGAATCCAGGAGTCTTGCCAGAACAGCGTTGAGCACCCGTCTCCGACCACCATCATGGTTGCTGCACGAAAGAGGGCACACGTGGCCTTGTCTGACGACGATGGAAGGTCGATCCAAGTTCTGTTCGGGTCAACCTTCCGCACCCAATATATCGGAGACCTAATACCGGGGTACCCAAGGAGGTGGAACTAATAACCATCGAACGTTAAACGCTCCCGGACGGACAAGAGCACTACTACGCTTCTTGCCCAAATGACAGGAGTTTGGTTCCGCCTCGCCCGACGCCCGTGGGCCAGCTCCGCCTCACCCGACGGCTGAGGGCCGGCTCCGCCTCGCCCGAGGGCTGAGGGCTAGTCTTCGCCTCACCCAAGGGCTGAGGGCAGGCCCCGCCTCACTCGACGTCCGGGGCCAGGCTTCGCCTTGCCCCACGACTGCACTCTGATCCTTCCTAAAGACGAAACACGGGGTATGACAGGATGTACGAGTCAACCACGATGTCGAGGGCCATGCCCTGTGCGACTGCAGGAAGGCACCGTCAGAACACGATGGGACGGGGGCTTTAAAGCCCTTTTCCTCATAACAGTGCCCAAATAGTATTAAGGGCGCCGGCTTTTGTCCCACAGTGTAGTAGGCGCCGCCTTTAGTCCTCGGGCGCGGATACTAACACCGGCATACGACGACCGCTACGGTCCAAGACAGAACTCACATCATCTACAATAACGGACGTATGGTCGCTTCCCCGATTACTCCCCGAGGGGTCATTGCTCGGCTCTCCGGCACGCCGCACCGTCCGCCGGCATGGGATGGGATGGGAAGCTCAACAAACACGCCACTTCTGACACGGTCTGTCATGTTAAGCAGGGCAGACGCGGGAAAAAAGGAAGGCACGGATCCTTCGAAGGACCTCCTATACCCTTGGTATTTTCCTCTTTCTCCCATCTGTAACCCCTGCTCCCCCCTTGGTCTATAAAAGGGGGGGCAGGGCTCCCCACTGAAGGGACCGACTTTTGACGGACAACTCACACACAGACGAACTCATAGAGAGTTCGGTTCGACACATCACGCACACAGCCAGGCCACCACCTGGCTCTTGGCATCCTTTCGACCCTTCCATCAGAGACCTGGGACCAGTCTCTCTCTCGACCATTTGTACCCCCTACTACGAACCATTTTCGGTGCTAATAACACGAGCAGCAACAGACTGGACGTAGGGACATTCAACCCGAACTAGTATAAACCTTGTGTCCTTTAGCGCACTATCCGGGCCTGACGCGCATAAATATAAATTTAATAGCTGGTGTTTGTTTGAAACACCGACAGTTGGCGCGCCAGGTAGGGGACTTTGCGCGTTCCAAACCAGGCCACAGATGGCTAATCACGACATCAGTTGGGTCCCAGGCGCACACGTGCGCTTCGGGGACCTAGATTTCATCATCACAGTGGGAGGAGAGTTGGTACGGGCTCACGCTGCCATCCAATCTCTCCCCCCATCGGCCTCGACGACAAGAGGCTTGGGCGCCAGCTCGGCGCCTCCCTTGGGCTCCTGCAGTCCAGGGAGGACCAGCGTCGCCTCGCCCTTTCCAACGACAATGATATGGCGTGGCCTTCCAGAGAAGGACTCCTCCCTCTGGAACATCACGTACGGAGCGCCCCAATAGCGTTTCCGTTCGGTCTCCGCAACGCCGCGGCGACCGTTATTCGCCTTGTGGCACAATGCATGGTTCAGTCGCCCGCGGACAGCGAGTTCGTGGGGGTGATCGAACACGACACGGAGTCTCTCCACAAACTCCTCATAGAGGAGCCGGGATCATCCTCTAGCTCTGACTCCAGCAGGGGGAGCCATCACCCTTCCTGGGAATGCTTCATGGCGGAAACCCCCGAGGGGCGCGTCGAAAGCGTCTCCGGGGAGGAGGCTACCCCGACAAGCAACCCTGACGGTAGGACCGGAGGGTAGGCAGTAGCCCCATCTCGCGTGAGGATGGAGCAGCTGAGAGCCTAGAAGCTGGAGATCGATGAGGCCGAACAAGGGCTCGTACGGGAGTACGCGGAGATCAATCGCGAGATCGAACGTCGTGGAAACGGTGGGCGCGCACGCGCCACGGCCCGCAATGTACACCAAAGGATCCTCACCAACAACGGGACCCTCCCTCACTTCGCTCGGGCAAGCCAGAACATCGCCGCTGCGACGGCCTTGCTTCACAGCCTTCTAGAGGCCGCGACGTTCGTGGATCACCGGGCCCGCCGAGAAATTCGCACGTTGCTCGAGCGTGCGGCGACACAGCAGGCGGAAAGCTCGTTGTCTCGGCGATGCGAGCTCGACGCCAACCAGCGCACGCCCTTGGTGCGCCCCGCCAAGGACGCATCGGTTCACCAGACACCGCCAGGCGACAGGCAGCACACCGCTGTCCCGGTGCATCAACGTCTCGGCCACAACCGTGACGCACGTAGCACCATCGACGCCCGCAGACGTGCCTACAATGACTCAAGAGAAGGAGCCCGCCGTGGCTATCATCCTCGACGTGGCGGACGCTACGACAGCGGCGAGGACCGGAGCCCGAGCCCCGGCCTGCCGTGGCTATCATCCTCAATGCTGCGTTCCCACCAAGGTATCGGCCACCTACCAACATCCCTAAGTACTCCGGGGAGACAAACCCCGGGCTTTGACTTGAAGACTATCGGCTTGCCTATCAAGCCGGTGGTGCGGATAATGACGACTTCATTATCCGCAACCTTCCACTGTTCCTCACCGATTCGGCACGAGCGTGGTTGGAGCACCTTCCGTCCGACGCCATCCAAGGTTGGGCGGACTTGAGGGAGATCTTTGTGGGGAACTTCCAGGGCACGTACAAGCATCTTGGGAACCCCTGGGACCTCAAGAACTGTTGCTAGAAGGGCGACGAAACCCTCCGTAGGTACATCCGGTGCTTCTCCCGATAATGCAACGAGCTCCCTAACGTCGCCGACGCCAACGTGATAGGAGCCTTCCTGTCCGGGACAACCTGCGAGTCTTTGGTTCACAAGCTGGGGCGCAAGGGCCCGTGGACCACTAAGGAACTCCTGGACATCGCCACCAGCCATGCCTCAGGAGAGGAGGCGGTCGGAGCAATCTTCGACCGTTCCGACGGCAAGGCGAGGCGGGACGTGGGCGCCGGCGAAGGCGTCTCCAACCATTCCGCCAAAAGAAAGAATAAGAAGCAACGGCGCGATGACTCGCTCGTGGCCGCTGCCGACCGCAAGGGGGGTCAGAAGCCCACGGAGGGCACTCCGAAC